TTTATGGCCAATTTACTAAAATGGGCCTGGTTTGAGTTTTAAGTACGGCCCTATGATCTAGGGGAGGGCCTAATATAATTTATCATTTCTAATGTAATTAGGAATGGTTTTAGTCTTCTAGAACATTCTAGAAGGTCTTATCATTCTTAATTCAATTAGGACTCTTCAGAGTTTTAATCAGATCAAATAGCATTTTCGATTGAAATTATATTATTTTATCTTCCAGTACGGGAATTTTATCAGAATTTCGAAAACGCGTTAAAAGTCAGTTTGGCGTCCAACCCCAGGCCTTGGCGCCTGAAATCAGGATTGGCGCCAGACGCCAGCCATTGGCGCCTGGCGCTAGCCACTGGTCCTGGCACCAATGAGCCAGGGCTGGCGCCAAGGTGGTTTTGTGGTCTTCAGACTCTGTTTTGATAAATTATCTTTTTTGGATGATTTTCTCTATAAATGTCGTATCAAAAACTCCGTTTTCATTCACGGATTATCGAGATTCATTCACCAACTCTCATCAAGATTTTCTTGATTAGTCTCTCTCTCTTTTTCTAAACTAGCCTTTTCTCAAATACAAAATTCCGCATTCACAAGATCTTGATACACCTAGCCATATTCGAAGTTGCCTTCGCCCTAGATGTGAAAGGTTTTAATTTCTGAGGGTTTGGTCCCAAATCTCTCTTTCAATTATTTAATTTAATTGTTTGATTATTATTTTCCTTGAAGTTACTAACGTGTGTATTTTGTTATTAGAAAGAGGTGCGAGGCATCCAAGTAAGTACTTTAATGGTTTAATTGATATTATGATGTAGATATCATGCTTAGATTGTTATTTTGATTCCTAGTATCATGTCTAGGGTAATTTTAATATTAAGTATGATTAAAAGTACGATGCCTTTTATTTTCTTCCTAATATTTATGATTATTAGTATCATGTTAGGGTTAAAGATTTGATTTTTATTGCTTAGTGACATGCTAGGGTTTGTTATTAATCTTGTTAGTATCATGCCTAGGATCTTGCTATGCTTTAACATGATTATGATTATGATTATTATTATTATTAATGATGTTGATTATTTATTTATGTTGCTTGATATGCATTATATTTTATATTGCTATTTCTTGATCACTTTTTATTGCATGCTTAAAGGGAATTGGTACTTGCAACCACGCTTGATAAGATAATTAATAATCTTGTTAGGGTTAATTGTGATTATAATTCAAGTGATCGCCAATAATAGTTTATTTGTGCATTAAATTCAACCAACATAGATTAAACAGGTTTAGGGTTAATCCTATTGATTGCATGTTAATCAGAAAACGCACATGAATACGAGCAGAATAAAGTAGAGGCCTATTATTAGGGCAGGTTTAATCTCTTTTAGGTTGGATTTGTACCATCATCCCCGAACCCTCATTTGGTTCATGACCTTATGGAGTTGACGATCTCTTGGATCGTTAAGGGGTGTAACCTTCACCTCGTGAACGGTTTACAAGTTCCTTAAAAACTTGTTGGCGACTCCTTTGCTCTATCTTCTTCCCTTTTGGACGCCACCGTACTTTAGTGTATGATCACAGTGGGGTTCAAGCTAGTGGGATTTTAAAGACTTGAAACTATTCCCCACAATCCGAGTTATTAAATCCACCCAAACCATGGAGTCGAGTTCGATTTCATCACGAACTCGCCGAGTCGCCCGTTGGCATACACCCTCAAGGGAGGCTGCCTTGCTAACGCGTCCAAACTCTTAACCATGGTACCCTTTTGACACCCAAAGCTTGACCAATAGTTGAACATAGATCTTGACTCTATGTTGCGAACTTTTTTTACATCATCGTGCCTAAATGCTAGGTGGTTGTTTGGTGCTAACCTTCATGTGTTTACTCTTTTGTTTAATCCATGACCGTGGGTTTTTATTCTCACATAGTAATTAGTACGGACCTAAAATTGTTTAAAATCTAGAAAAATCACAAAAATGACCTGGAACTGTGCACCGTGTCACGGCATGTTCTGCCGCGTCACGGTGAACAGTGCCGTGACACGGGGCTTTCTACCGTCTAACGGTAGACTGCACCGTGTCACGACAGTCTGCACCGTGACACGGTGCCCAGGAAAAGTGTCCTGTCAATTTTTTTCCTATACGGTCAAAACACGCGTCCATAACCTCACTTAATCACTCACATATCGTGTTCACACACTTTTTTCCTTAAGTCGTGCACTACTTTTTGACCGTATTTTAGGGTAGTCTTGTTTTTGTGTCGTTTTTTTTTCGGAGTAAGTCGGATGGTATCCTCCCATATTTAAAAAATAAAAAATAAACAAGTAGAATTTCAAAATTATAGATTTTTAATAAAAAAAAATTCTTTTTTCCTTTTTTTTATCCGGATGGGTTAAGGTTAAGTTTGGTCATTAAAGGTGTGTTTGTTTCGGTGTCACAGCACTTGGTCAAGAAGCAGGGGTAGATTGTTACGGTTTGAGTCAATACCTCAACAACCTCTTATACCAAAGAGGCGTACAAGGAAACCACCTCAATCATCTCCACAAGATCCATCTCCAGTCTACTTTCAACCAATGGCCACTAAGGAAGACATCGAGAACCTCAACAAGGCAATTGAAAAATTGTTTGACATGATGCAGACACTCACCACTAGAGTCCGCACGGTAGAACAAGACAATCAAAACAATGTCACTACTGCTGCAATGGACAAGATTAAGGAACAGATGAGCAAGATTTCTGAAGAATTCACTTATGTGGAATAGCCTGTCACCTCTTCGTCCATAAGGGACAAGCTTCCTGAGAAGTTTTCCACCGCGACATTCCCAAATTCAAGCCTACTGATAATCCGCTTTTCCATTTGAAGGCTTTTTCTGCAACTATGGCTCTTAAGGGAGTAGATGTGACACTCTTCCCTACAGTGTTCCCTCTTTCCTTGGAACATGCCTGTCAACAGTGGTTCTATTCTTTGGAATCCAAACATGTTGCGACCTGGGAGGATATTGCTGAAAGCTTTATGAATCGTTACAAGTGTAACATTCAGGCCAAGATTTCTGAACGTGAACTCTCCATTCTCAAACAGAAAGAGAATGAAGGCTTCACCACTTACTTAATTAGGTGGAGGGAAACAGCTCCGCTCCTGGTGGATCCCCCCAAGGAGAAAGAAATGGTTCGCTTGTTCATTGCCAATCTGACTCATAAGTACAAGCAACACTTGAAGTTTTTGCCTCTGAGTACCTTTGAAGCTGTATACGATATTGGAATCAATATTGAGGAAGAACTAATGAAGGATGTTGGTAGCAACAATAATAATAGCACTTGGAAAAACAAGAAGAACAACACTCCTTCTTCTTCGTCTTCTAAGCCCAATAATGCTACCAACAATATCAATATCAATGATGTGCTGGCCCTTAATGCTCCTCCTTAAAGATTCCAAAGGCAAAGGAGGGTTTACACGCCTTTGGGAATGACTTATGATGCTTCTTATGACCGTTTGCATGGTCAAGGACTGATTATGCCAATTGGACCATTTCCAGAACCTCGACCAGAGAATAGGACCGCTAGCTATGACCCCAACGCTTATTGCAAGTTTCATCAAGGCAAGGGTCATAATACTGAGAAGTTTTGGAGATTGAAAGATGCAATCCAAGACCTAATTGATGCTGATCAACTTCCTGTCCCTCCAGGGGGCAAGAAGCCTATCATTCAAACAGGTCCTCTTTCTGATGCTTTGGCTATCATGGGTGATGAAATCTCCTTTGATCCGTCAATACTCATTCAACCTGTGAATGAACCTCTGCCGGAAGTTGTATTTTTCTCGAGTTCTGAAAAAGTGAATGGAATTTGGGATAGTGACGATGAAGACGTCTATCTCAAAGATATAGCCTGTTCATCTCTTGGCTCAAGTGAAGATGTTTGGGGGGACTTTGAGGTCAAGGTTCTCACCAGAAGTGGACGGTTGCAACAACCTAATCCACCTCCACCACAATCACATCCAATAGTTGATCCCATCGACCTTGTGAACAGCGATGTGGTCAAACAATTACAAAAGATCAAGGTGGAGATGAATGTATGGAAGCTTTTGGCCACCTCGCACGAGCATCGAAAGGCTGTGATGAATGCTCTGGTGAAAATAGGAGTTGATGATGACATGACTCCTCAAGGACTGGTCAACTTTCTCAGTACTGAATTGCCAATACTAGCAATCTGATTTCGTTTTCTGACAAGGATCTGCCCCCGAAAGGGGACCAACATAATAAGGCCTTACACCTCACTGTGGTGTGTAGGCAAATGAATGTTCCTATGAGCCTGGTTGATAATGGCTCTGCAATCTGTGCCCACTCCGTACTGCAAAGAAGTTGGGCATAAAGAATGAAGAACTGACTCCCTCCACTCATGGGATTCACGCTTATGATAATACTCGCCGTCAAGCCGTGTGTACTATCATACTGAACATAACTACTGGGGCCATTTAACGTCGCACTAAATTTCAGGTGGTGGACATTAAGGCCTCTTTCAATCTGTTGTTAGGACGCCCTTGGCTTCATGAGCTAAAGGCGATTCCATCATCGCTGCACCAGAAAGTGAAAGCCATAGTTGGAGCGGTTCCAATTACTATTGATGCTTCTCCTATGTGCATTCAAGTTATCGACAGTCCTATCGTCCATGTTGAACATGACGAAGAAGATGAAGATCTTTGGGGGTTTTCACTAGATGATGTTCTCGTGATTGAAGAGGAGGAAAAGTGCCATCTCGACTTTGATCCCTGTTCAAACACCAATATCAATGCCATTCTGAAGAAGCAAGGTCATTTCCTTGGAATGACCCTTGGACTCAAGAAGAAAATGGTTGAATCTTGGCCATCTTGGTGCACTCAAGAAGGATACTTTTGGCTTGTGATTCAAGCCAACAAAAGAAGATGTGAAACAAGCTTTATTGAAGATGAAGGCTCGCAATAATGCTCGAATCACGAAGACGGAAATGGCCATGGATCCGCACTACAAGAAAATCCATTTATCGCAACAAATGTTTGGGAACAACATTGTAGTCGTTGCTGAAAATTTTATTAGCAAGGATAATGTCGTTGCAGTTGGTAAATTTTCATTTCCCTCCACACCATGCCAACGCGCGAGATTGAATTAATTCACGGTCTATTTTTTACAACAACTTTTTTGGTTGCAATATATTGTATAAAATACAGCAACGACTTGCTTTGTTGTTAAATATTCAATTAATATACCACAACGACATCTTTGTAGCAAAAAATAAAAAAATAAAAAGGTAAAAATTTAAAAGATTGTACTAGTGGACTAGAAGCTTCTTTTTAAAGAATGTCTTACTTTACTAATCCCAATTGTAAAACCCTACCCTCATTCACGCGCCATTATTTCGCTTTCATCCCGCCACCGTTCTCGTTCTCCGGCAAAGTAATCTAGCCACTAATTCTCACCTCATCGCTGCAACTCTATCTTTCTATTGCATTATTAAGTAAAAAAAATAAAAATTGAAGTCACATAAACTAGTAGAAAGATGTGGGTGTCGATAATATTGAGGGTGTCGAACATTACTGGTGAATGTTCCTTCTAGCCCTTGCGTTTTCGGTTAGTATTCTGATTCTATTTAACAATTTCATTATTTTGTAAAGTTTGTGTGTATTTCTAACTATTTAGTGTTATTTGATTGAGTTTTCTTGACTTGAATTGACTCACTTTTTTAAATAAAATTGGATTTGTATTGTTGAGAATTAGTTTTTGAATTTGTTCTATACTTGTGTATTACTCGAGGTTTGGTGTTTGAGAATTACTTGTTCATGTTATAAATCTAGAATTTTTTAATTGTTATTGGAATGAAAAAGCTGTGATTTTGCCTCCTAAATTATAGAAACCCTTGGTCATTTAATAATATACGGAGTTATAGATCATTTCTCGGAAACCGATTGTTGTGCACTGGCCACTTATGAAGAGAACCTCTTGGTTTGTATTGATGGAATCGGATTTAGTTGTTATTGTTGCAAGTATTATGGTCTTTGTGCACTTTCTTTGTTTAGTTATCATTTTTATATTTGTTGGTTGCTACTCTGCTTGTACTTCACTACGGCAAACTTTTTTCTAAGTTTATTCTTTTCCTTAAAAAAGGAGGTAAAGGAAGAGTTTAATTTTAATCATGTTAATTGTGGCAGCTATATTATCGACCTCTTAGTCCTATTTAATTCAAAAGTTTGAGGTTCAAGAATGTCATATTGCAGACAACTCCAGGGAAAATTGGACAAGCTTAGTACCTCTTCTTAACTTATTTTGTAGTTTATATACATGTAGCCCCTCCAATTCTTTGTTTTATCTCGGCTTTCCAAAAATACTTCATTTTAAATTTGGTCACCTACAAGATTTTTTTTTTTTTTTTTTTTTTTTTTTTTTTTATGCCCTTGACAATCCTCTATCTTTCTTTATCTTTCTTAGAGTACAGAGTAAGCTAACCTCCTTTGCATTATTTAATCTCAGGAACCAGTGATATTTGATCTCAAGTAGTAGCAGTTAACGAGGCTTAGTGTTTTGATCACGTACTTCACTAGTCAAAGAGATTGAAGTAGCATAATAGAAATTGATTACCTCTCTAATTGTAAAAGGTTAGTCTTTAATGCTAAATAAACTAAAGTTGTATGGTTAGTTAAAGTTTAAAGTATGATATGTTCATTTGGCTTTGAGAAATTTGTTACAAATTGTAATACATTTGAGATCTGTTCTCTGATGATTCATATTGATTAATAAAGGGCCATATTGTTAAATAAGTTTATCTATCATTAAATTATATCTACAATTTTCATGACAATTAAATTTAACTAAAGACCCCTAAAGAAGGAAAAAAAATTAACAAAAGATATACAATCAACATTGTATAACAGCATGTATTAGCAGGTAGATAGTTGGATTTTATTGTTCACTTTTCATATTTACATGCGTTATCATGATTAGGATTAAAATTGAAATTGCTAAATAACTTTGAGTTATTAATCTTTGTCTTCTACACGTATTGTGTATTGGTAATAAGATTATATCTATGATTTTAATTTTACTTTACTTATTCCACTATCAAATTTATTTTATGCTTAATTATGCAATATGATATATCTTAAGATATATGTCTTCATTTGGATTGTGGACTATGTGGTGGGGAAAGGAAAATGGGGAATTTTATTAATATGGGCACTATCCTATTATTACTACCTCCGTCCCCTTTTGATAGTCCCTTATGGGCATTTGTCACGGGAATTAATAAACACAAATAAGAATAGTTAAAGTACAATGAAAAAGTAAATTGACATTGGGTATGCAAAAAAGTAGAGAGAGAAAGTAATAAAAGTACATGGGAAAACAAAATTTATATGGGAAATATAAATTTGCACAAGTATTATTGCAAATTGGAGGAAAGTTTGGTAAACAATTAATATTTATGGTTGTTGGGAAAAGCAAATGAGGTGAACATTTTGGGACTAAAATTTGCCCATAAGGGACTATCAAAAGGGGACGAAGGGAGTATTAGCTATACATGGGTACTAACCTATTTTTATTTATTATGGTTATTTGCTATACATGGGCACTAGCTTATTACTATTTATATACGTTCTTAGCTCCATTCATATTATATGATTTTTTAATATTATTATTATTATTATTATTTTATTTATTTTTTATTTATTTATTTTTTTTACAGTGTTGATTAGCGTTGTTAACTACTTGGTGGGAATTGAATTTGGCTTTGAGAAAAAAGGAGTTCAGTTATATTTGCAGAAGACTTTGGTTTTGTGAAGGTAAATATGTTACACTTTGCTTATGTCTTAGCGTAAATGTGGAATGTTTGATATGAATTAGACAAGAATAATGAATAATACCTTACGTAGATTTTAAAAATATTAATGAATCATGCTGGACTTAGGCTAATAATTCTAATGTTGGGTGTCTCTTAAAATAGTCTTAATCTTATACATTCATATTAATAAATGTACATTCACTTTTTTGTGAATAAGCAAATTGGCCATGTTTTTTCTTTTACTTTGCAGATATGACATTGTTTTAGATATGATATGATATACATGCTTCTAAACCTCCTTACAATGTGAACTTAGGGAATGGCTTTTGATAAGGAATGGATGAAAATTAGTGATCATTCATTGCCCGAATACAGGCAGGGTGTTGATGGCTTTCTGAACTTTGCATTTTCAAAAGTCACAGAAGTTCATGATACTACCACAACTAGATGTCCTTGTGATAAATGTCGTAATCTAATTTGTAAAAAAAGGAGTGATGTGAGGTTTGATTTATTAAAGTGGGGAATGTATGCAAATTATACTACCTGGGAACTACATGGGGAAATTGTAAACCATTATAATGGTGGTCACATAAGTGAAATTAGTGACATAGAGGGGATTGGACATAATGACAGTGAGGTTAACATGTTGGAGGATGCTTTTGGAGTGCCAAGCATGCATTTAGGGCGAGATGAGGTGGATTCCAATAACAATAATGAGGAACCTAAAGGGGAGGCAGCAAAGTTTTATCGTTTGTTGAATGAATATCAGGAGCCCCTAACAGTTGGTGGCACTACAATGTCAAAGTTGTCTTATATTGTTAAATTGTTGCACTTGAAAGTCTTAAATAATTGGAGTGATAGTTCGTTTGATAGTCTATTGAAATTGCTATGCCAAGCCTGGGGAACTAGCCTTCCAGATTCTTATTATGAGGCAAAAAAACTGATTACTGATTTAGGGCTTGAGTGTGTTAAAATTGATGCATGTAAAAATGATTGTGTTTTGTATTGGAAACAAAATGCAAAGTTAGACAAATGTCCAACTTGTGATTTACCTAGGTATAAAAATATTGATATTGGGCCTTCAAAAGGAGCCAAAGTGCCACACAAGGTTTTACGGTACTTTCCATTGAGATCTAGGCTACAAAGGTTAGAAAAACAGCCAAGGATATGTTGTGGCATATGGAAGAAAGGGTGGATAAGAAAGGGGAAATGAGTCATCCTGCCGATTCTCCTGCGTGGAAATCAATTGACGAAGAATATCCTTCATTTGCTAGTGATGCACGTAATGTAAGACTTGGACTAGCTTGTGATGGTTTCCAGCCTTTTGATAATTCACAGCATAGTATTTGGCCAGTAGTTTTGATTCCCTATAATCTACCTCCTTGGATATGCATGAAACCACATTCGTTTTTGTTATCTTTACTCATACCTGGTCCCTCAAGTCCTGGTAGAAATATTGATGTATATCTTCAACCTTTGATTGAGGAATTGAAGGATCTTTGGGAGAATGGGGTAGAAACATATGATGCTTACTCTAAGCAGAATTTTAATGTGCGTGCGATGCTTTTATGGACTATTAGTGACTTCCCAGCACTTGCTGATTTGTCGGGTTGGTCAACTAAAGGTCGATATGCTTGTCCTTCTTGTCACAAGCACACTAACCGCACTTCATTAACAAGTAAAGGTGGTTACTTACGACATCGTCGTTGGATACCTAGTAACCACAAATGGAGAAAGGATAGAAAGTCATTTGACAATACAAGAGAGAAAGAATGTGCACCAATTCCTTTAACTGGGGATAAAATTTTGACTTATTATAATCAATTTCAGCAAGAAAAGTTTGGAAAGGTTTCTGGAAAAAAAAGAAAGCGAGATCCCTCGAAGAGCTTGTATGGCTGGAACAAGAAAAGCATATTTTTTCAACTGCCTTACTGGAGAAAGCTGCTAATTCGACATAATTTAGATGTTATGCATATCGAAAAAAATGTGTCTGATAATATATTAGGTACATTGTTGAATATTAAAGGAAAAACAAAAGACACAATAAAGGCTCGTATTGATTTGATGAAAATGGGAATTCGAAATGACCTCCACCCTATATTAGAGGGAGACAAAGTACGTGTTCCTGTAGCATCATACACTTTAAACTCAAATGCCAAGGCTGCAATTTGTGACATGTTTGCAAGTATCAAGTCTCCTGATGGATACATGTCTAATCTTTCTAGGTGTGTAAGGGAAAGAAAAAATAAAATTTCTGGTTTGAAAAGTCATGATCATTATGTATTTATTCAGCAGCTTCTCCCTCTGGTAACTCGTGGTTTTTTGTCAAAGAATGTATATGAGCCTTTAGTCGTTTTCGAAATGTTTGCTCCAAAAAATTAACTACAGTGCAATTGAATGAACTTGAAGCTCAAATCCCTTACACATTATGCAAGCTCGAGATGATTTTTCCTCCTGCTTTTTTTGATGTGATGGTACATTTAGTGGTGCATTTGGCTTCTGAAGCTAAAATTGGAGGTCCTGTACGGTGTAGATGGATGTACCCAGTTGAAAGGTATGCCACTTTATTGTTTTACTTATTCTTTATATTTTTTTTCGTATTGATTCAACTTTCTATTAACCATGTGTTAATATTAGGTACCTTCGAACCTTGAAAAAGTACATTCGAAATAGAGCTCAACCAGAAGGTTGTATAGCAGAAGGATACCTCGCTGACGAGTGCTTAACATTTTGCTCGAGATATATGAGTGATATTGACTCAAAGTTCAATCGTAAAGGAAGAAATGATGATGTTGTTGAATATCAAGAGGATGATTTGAACTTCAATCTGGATATATTCAAACCTCTTGGACATCCTTTTGGACAAGGAGTGCCATTACATCTTGACTTCGAAGAATGTAATCAAATTCATTTGTACAATCTTCTAAATTGTGATGACCTCCTGGATTTTGTTAAGTAAGCTGTTTTAACATCTTATATAGTTTATTTTGTATGAGTTACAATCAATCTTTTATTTTTTTCTGTTTTTTTATTGATCAATTTATATAACTTTTTTTTAGAGAACACAAGTTAGAGTTAGAGAAGGAAAATGCTAGAAATGTGGAACGGAGACACAAAAGGCAATTTGCTGGTTGGATATATGACCGCGTAAGTTAACTACTAAATCAGTACCTAAAACTGCATTTTGTATAGTATCAATTACTATAAATTCTATAAATTACCAATTTATTTTTTTTTTTTACAGGTGCGTAAACTCTATTAGGATGGGAAAATTGATGAGAAAATATATAATTTAGTTTGTTCTCCTTCAAGAGTTGTAAGGCGTTACGCTGGATATGTTGTAAATGGTTTTCGATTTCACACCATTGATCGATGCGAGAATAGAAAAACTCATAATTGTGGGGTAATGGTACGTGGGGATGATTATTCAGACAAAGAGTATTATGGGGTATTGAAGGATATATTTGAGATGTCTTATCCAGGAGGAAATCGCATATTTGTATATAAATGTGCATGGTTTGATGTGCAGCACTTGGGCAGAGGATATAAGGTGGATGACCATGGTTTCGTTAGTGTAAATAAGAGGGGTTCTTTGAAAACAGATGAAGTGTATGTCTTGGAATCACAAGTGGAGCAAGTATTTTATATTCAAGATCCGAAAACTGATGATTGGCAATTTGTTATAAAAACTCAACCAAGAGATCTTTACGATATGCCAAGTAAAGATATTGTTGACCAAGCTGAGATTAATGACCAGGTTGTAGATGTAGAGGCATATCAACAAGTGGAAGTCGATGAGGCTGTGTTTCATAGTTTAAGCCAAGCAAATGATGATTTTTTAGTAGATTCATTAGCTACTAGCACGATTTGGGTCGGATGATTTCAAGGTTACATTTAAATATTTTTGTATATATTTTACTCTTATTTATTTACAAGGAAATCGTATAAATTTTACATGGGCTTTATATATATTGTTTAATTAGTTTTATCCTATTATTTATACAGAAAGTAAGTGAAAGAAATTCCAGAAATCGCTTGTCTAAGAATAGAACAACACAGACTACTGGAAACTTATCATTTGCTGAAGTCGAAGATATTCTGGTAAAATATGTTTTGAACTAAAATATGCACTATAGTTTATGCTTCTGTAGCGGAAGTTTAGTGACTGTAAACATTAATCCATTTGTTTATGTTTTATTAGACTCAAGAAAACAATGGAGTTAAGCCACCTGCTGATGTTATTTGGCTTATCGAGCATACAAAAGAAAATGACGAGGGCGTTTTGGAGTGGGCTGATGAATCTCGTTCGAAGGAGATACATGTATTTTAAAATTATAAAGTGACGATGTAATGTGTTGTGTTAGTTGTATGAATGTTTACATATTTTAACTTCAAATTTATGTTTTTGGTTAGGAACAATTAAAAGTTGTTGTTGCTGCACATGGTGAATCAAAGACTCAAGAAGAGATTCTTCTAGATGTTTTGAAACCAAGATCAGGGTACTTTCGTGGAAAGGGAACTGCCTTGCCTGGCTTCAGCAAAGGAAGACATCAATTAGAGCATCAAAGCTTAATACGTGAGCAACAAAAGAAAATTCAGGAGCAACAAGAATTAATTAAGGAGTTGCAAGAGAATCAGGAAAGAACTACCAAACAATTAGAAGAGACTCAGGAAGCAACAGCAAGACAATTACAACAACAAAAAGAGGAGACACAACGTGCAATGAATGCAATGAAGGAAGAATTACTCAGAGCACTTGGTAATAGAGTTGCAAGTTAAACATCAAATATTTCCAGGTAATTTATTTTGTAAATCTTTGTGTGTGTGTGTGTTTGTGTGTGCTTTTTTTTATTTTATTTTTTACTCGAGTTGGGTAAACTTAATCCTCCAAAACTTCCACACCATCTTTGTCTACAATTTTCCAAGATGCTCCATCAGTACAACCTCTTTGAAAAAAATAAGTTTTATAGTACGTGCTACACTTTGTTTTTATTATAATTATTTAGTTTGTTTTTGCGTTTCTACTCCTCTCTCTCTCTCTACTTTTCTCCTCTTAAATCCAGGGTTCTTATGTGAGATCTTTGCTCCCTTTTTCTAACTCTCAAATAAGTTTCTTTGAAAGTCATCATCTCAATTATAGTAGTAATTATAATACATTAAAAAGCAAATGATTATAATTTTTTAAAGGAAGACTAAGTTGGCTATCAAATGTGTGCTTCATATGTATATGGTATAAGATTTCTATGATCATTTTATTACTTAATTATGCAAACTTTGTTACAGCAATTTCTAATTTTCTTTCATCAGAATCATGCTTATAGTAAATCACATACATGATGCCAATATAATTCTTATAGATCTTTTAATATTTATCAAAATTTCTTGAAATTTATTACATATATTATATATAAAATCAAAAGAATAAGTGATGCTAGATTTTTCATTGGGTTCTTCATAATTCTAAAATTATATCTTCCTTTATTTTGCTAATGCAGGTTATGTTGGAGAAGTATTAGTAAATGCATGGAGAAAGTGTGCAGATGATATGTAGTATAGGTTTTATTTTGCACAATGACTACTTGTTGGACATGACTTAGTGGAAAGATGGTTTACTCTATTATGGTTGTACATTGGTGGGATGACTAGAAAATTAGCCTTTTGGAACAAAGATGGATGTAATCTTTTGGGAGAAGTCATGTTTAATGTTGACTTAGACTATTAAATGTATATATTTATCTAATCTTTTGGATATAATCACTTGTGTTATGTTAAATATTACACATGTTAAATAGATATTAACTTATTAGCAATTTACCTATTTGTATTTCCAATAAATTAATAAATAATTCTACAAAGATTTATCGCTAAACCATAAATTAGCAACGACTTGTATTGTTGTAAAAAATATAATGCATTATCACAACAATAAATGTCGTTACAACATACAACTATTTTGAAATGACATTTGTCGTTACCATACACCAAATTAAATAAAGCAATGATATTAGTCGTTGCACTAAAAGGTATTTTTATAACGACAAATGTCGTTGCAAAAGATTATTCAACATATTGCAACGACAAAAGTTGTTGCCATAATTTCCTTCTAATAAGTTTGGATTTCATAGGTAAGGCAACGACAAGTTTAATGCAACGCTAATAGTCGTTGCAAATTATTAATTTTTCGCAACCACTTTTGTCGTCACACCGATTTTTAGTGACGGAGGTACCCGCAACGACCTTGCAACGACAATTGTCGTTGCTATAGATTTTTTTTGCAACGACTTTGTATTTTTTGCAACGATTTTTTTTTTTGCGAAAAAAAGGTTTTCTTGTAGTGTCCATATCCGTTCACCCTCAATGGCCAGTAAATCAAAGAAGGGGAAGACTTCTCATGCTATGAATTTCCTGAGCCATTCGTCCACGATGGGAAGAGTGAACCAGGATTCGAGATATTCCTCGATTGTGACTTTGTTGATGAAGACGAAGAGCTCTTCACAACCGATAAGCCAGCTAGCCCGAGTTCTGATGATCTAGGCATCAACCTGCTTTTTGGAATGGAAAAGAATGAGTCTAATCCCGTCTTCAATGATAACTCCGAGCTCGTTCAAACTTCATAGCAAACAAGGATTTTGACCCCTCCGAGTTAATTGTCCAAGCTGACAATATTTCAAGGGGATGAGGCAAGACATTGAGGATCACTACGCCAAGTGGAGAGAAGTTGGAAATAACCGCTGGCGGAGGTCCTATGTTTGATGAGTCTGAGTCGTCTGGGTCCGAGCCGAGTCTGAGTCTAAGTCTGTAGGCGAGTCCTTAGAGTCTGAGGCCGACCCTCTTTCTGCTATAGAGTTCAACCCTGAGTCTCTTGTTGAGTCCCCTCTTTCTAGTCCAAATAATTCCGGTGAGGTCGCAGCCGACCTTGCCCCTCTTGATGTATTAGCCAACAAATTCAATAAAATGAGTACCTTTGCTTACAATGCGTGTCATTCCCCTAGCCCTGATCAATATTGCTTTGCTAATGATAAAAATGACAAAGAAATAATAAAAGCAATGGAAGAACACGAAAATAAAACAGCAGATATCGAAGATACAGAAACAGTTAACATTTCCAATGATACGACTGTTAAAGAAGTAAAAATTGGATTAACACTAAGTCAAGATGAACACAAAGAGCTAATTAACTTGCTAACTGAATTTGTTGTTTTATTTGCTTGGTCATACCAAGATATGCCAGGAATTGACAGGGATATAGCTCAGCATACGATACCACTCATTCCAGGTATGAAGCCTGTCAAACAAAAGCTGCGCCGTATGAAACCGGATGTGGCTCTCAAAATCAAGGAAGAAATCAGGAAGCAGTTGGCCGCAGGTTTCATCAGTGTATCCAAATATCCAGAATGGATAGCAAATGTGGTTCAAGTTCCAAAGAAGGATGGAAGGGTCAGAATGTGTGTTGATTACAGGGATCTCAATAAAGCAAGCCCAAAAGATGGGTTCCCTCTACCTCACATTGACATTCTGGTCGATCACACAACAAACCATGCACTCCTATCATTCATGGACGGTTACGCCGGATATAATCAGGTATTGATGGCCGAAGAAGATATGGAGAAAACCACATTCATCACGCAATGGGGTACATATTGCTATACGGTAATGCCATTCGAGTTGAAAAACGCGGGTGCCACCTACCAAAGAGCAGCTACAGCATTGTTACATGACATGATGCACAAAGAGGTGGAGGTCTATGTCGATGATATGATCGTTAAGTCTAAAGATCGCCCAGGCCATATTATTGCACTTCGCAAGTTCTTTGAAAGACTCTGCAAGTACAACATGAGATTAAATCCAGCAAAATGTGCATTCGGAGTCACGTCAGGAAAATTGCTTGGATACGTGATCAGTTCTCGAGGGATTGAAATAGATCCTACAAAAGTAAAGGCGATCATGGCCATGCCACCGCCCAAAAATGAGAAGGAGATTCGAGGTTTCATTGGAAGGTTGCAGTATATAAGTAGGTTCATATCAAAGCTCACAGCGATATGTGAACCTATATTCAAGAAGCTCAAGAAAAATTTCCCAATCACATGGGATGTCGATTGCCAAAAAGCTTTCGACAAAATCAAAGAGTACTTGGCAAACCCACCCGTGCTAGCGCCAGCAATACCTGACTTTCCTCTTCGACTCTACCTTACGGTCACAAGAGAAACGATGGGGGTAATGCTAGCACAAGAGATTGAAAAAAAGGAGAATGCTATCTACTACTTGAGTAAGAAGCTTCAAGGATATGAGACGCGATACACACCACTTGAAAAGTTGTGTCTCGCACTTGTGTGGGCCGCACAGAAACTAAGACATTACATGCTCACTCATACGGTGCATGTCGTGTCCAAGATGGATCCTCTCAAATACTTGTTCTAAAAAGCGACACTCAATGGCAGATTATCAAGGTGGATAGTAAATCTTGCTCAGTTTGACTTGAGATTTGTACCACAAAAAGCCATCAAAGGTTCTGCGGTTTTCGATTTTTTAGCAGACTTTCCACTAGAAGAAGTTGAGAAAGAAGAAGATGAGTACAATTTCCCTGACAAAGATTTACTCATGACCGAAGATGATAGATGGACACTCTATTTCAATGGAGCTTCAAACCAAAAAGGATGTGGTGTAGGAGTCTTGCTTGTATCACCCAATGAAGAGCACATCCTAATTTCCATGAAGCTTGACTTTGATGTCACCAACAATGCCGCAGAATACGAAGCATGTACCTTGGGGTTAGAAACAGTTGTCGCCTTGGGAATTAAGAAGCTCAGAATCTATGGTGATTCTTCACTAATCATTAACCAAATCTCCAAGAGATGGAAAGTGAGAAGTGAAAGTCTCGCTACGTATCAAGCTCATTTAGAAACTCTCACGGAGCAACTAGATGAAGTGGAATATACGTATTTGCCGAGAGAAGAAAACCAATTCGCCGACGCACTAGCTAAATTAGCATCAATGGTGCGAATTCCAACTGATACAATCAGAATGCCACTGACCATAGAAAGAAGATATGATCCATCTTATGTTCACGCACTCGACGATGAACAAGAACCACAAGAAGAAGATGAAGAGCCATGGTATACAGATATCCTTAATTATGTGACAAGAGGAGAATACCCTCTTAATACTGATAAAAGGGCACGCCGTGCTTTGAGGCTCCTGGCCTCACAGTATGTGCTCATCAGGGGAGAACTCCACAAAAGAACTACAATGGGAAGAAATCTCTTATGCATAGCCAAGAAAGAAGCACATAAAACCATGGAAAACCTTCATGCAGGTATATGTGGAATGCACATGAATGCAAAGATGTTAGTCCAAAAGATTCAACGACAAGGTTACTATTGGACTACTATGGAGAGAGATTGTCACGAATACGTCAAGAAATGTATGAAGTGTCAAGTCTACGCAAATTTACAGCATGTTCCACCTTCTCTTCTCTACACATATACTTCTCCATGGCCTTTCTCCACTTGGGGCATCAACATCATTGGAAAAATAACGCCACCAGGACAAGGGGGGCATGAATTCATTCTCATAGCAATCGACTATTTCACCAAATGGGTCGAAGCGGCCTCATATGCTAAGCTGACGACGAAACACGTAGCTCAACTCATTGAGAGCTCAATTCATTGAGAAAAATATCATATGCCGCTATGGGGTACCACATGAGATGATCAGCGATAATGTAACGCATTTCCAAGCCGAATGCGCAGAATTATTACAGAAGTATCATATCAAGCATCACATATCATCACCTTACAGACCACAAACAAATGGTGCGGTCGAATCGACCAACAAAAATGTGAAAACGATCATTGAAAAGATGACAGAAAATTACAAGGATTGGCCAAGTAAGCTACATTTCGCCCTTTGGGGTTATCGAACCTCTTTTCGTACATCAACGGGGGCTACCCCTTTCTCTTTGGTCTATGGAGTTGAAGCTGTACAACCAATCAAACTCAAAATCCCTTCTCTTCGAATCGCATTGGAAAGCCAACTAGATGAAGTCGGCTGGATTAGAGCAAGATATGATGAACTGGTCTTACTTGATGAAAACCTCTTGGCAGCTTTGCATCATGTCCAAACCTACCAACAGCTTATGGCGCGACATTTTAATAAAAAAGTCAAGACCAGGAACATCAAAGAGGGTGACCTAGTGCTTAAGGCACTTCGTAAAAATGTGTTAGATCCAAGAGGAAAATTCAGACCGAATTGGTCAAGCCCGTACATTGTTAAAGCCATCTTGTCTGGCGGAGCGGCACAATTGGTAGACATGGACGGTAATGGTTTCCACAATTTAACCAACTTGGATCAACTCAAGATATTCTATGCCTAGTCGCATGGGTTCATGACCCAATAGAGCTACGTTTGGCCTGATTCCTTTTTAGGATATGTAGGCAACCCCTCAAGGGGGCCCGACCACTTTAAAAAATAAAAATCCTCCCTCCGTCGATCAAGTATGCGCGTCAGTTCAGCATTGCGTCACGACAAAAAAAAAAGAAAAAGGAATTGACGTGACGCGGGAATTTGTAACGTGTCACGGGATTTTTCACCGTGACACGGTGGAATTTCAGGTTTTTCGATTTTTTAGTGACGCATTCGTTGCGAATTAATTGTTTGTTCGAGGTTTTTATTTTCGTTCTTCCATTGCGTCCGACTCCTTGACTGGGATAAATAAATAATAAATAAAAGTCATTGTAATTTTTTATTTAAGGCTGAAATAAATATGCTATTATTATTGAAATAAATGTGACTACAATTATTGGCATCATATGCCTTATT